AAAGTGTGAAATTTTAGGAGAAAATGTATTGTATGAAATTTTATTTAATTGTTGAAATTATACCGGTGTAAGGCATATCAATCTATCCATGAAGTTAAATTCAAAGAAAATGTCACCTTAAAATCTTTTTTTTTTTTAATTATACTTGTTTAAGGCATATCAATCCGCCCATAAAGCTAAATTCAAGAAAATTTTCACCTTAAAATATTTTTTTTCCATAAAACTGCCCTTTTGAACTGCACTATACATTTCACTTATTAAAAGAGTTAAAACATTCCATTTATATAAAAATAATAATTATATGAAAAAATTATAAGGTGGGGGCCTTCAAAGTTTATATCTTCTGATATGAGGAGGGTAAAGGAACAAATAACAGAGGTAAAAACAGGGCCTCTGTTTTGCACCAGCACTCCCTCCTCATACTCTTTCCTTACATGCATTTATTTTCTTTTTAGTATTTTTATATTCATCATCACTATGCTCAGTATTTTAAACATTACATATTTTGTATATAATTTTCAAAACATTTCTGCAACAGTTTTTCAAAATTCATTCATTCATTTTTCAAATAATTCAAAATTCTTAAACTTACAGACAGAGCAGCAAAATTCATAATTAAATATGACAAATGTCTATAAACATTGTTTTTTAAAAAGAAATGACATAAACAGTCGAGAAGCAAAGCGGCGAGAGGATGACACAGCAGCACTTAGGAAAAGGAATGGAAGAATGACGTAGTTAATTCGTCAGAGGTATTTATACTAAGTCTGATGTAATTGTAGAGACTAGCTAGGATTGGTTAATTTGAGGTTGTTTAGAAGGATCTCGAATTTGGGAGAAGAGATGAATTTAGGGGAAGAGCACCAAATACGGAATCGTTAATTTTGACGTCGACAGTTTTTTTTTAAAGCAGCTATCGTATTTTCTTATATCTTACATATATCTGTATTGTTACGTTCTACGGGTTCGAGGATTTGGAGTAATCGATGATAACACTTGATTAAAAAGCAAAACGAAATTTATTCCCTAGTATTACATAGGAGAATTCCAAAGACACGTTTATAGTCATCGAAAAACTAGGATAAATAATCTGACACAATCAGCAACACAGCTTTCAGCATTATAATGTGAAGACAGCTTTACGGCAAAGCACTAAAGTCCAGCTCTCAACTCTGTCGATCGCTCTCAAGCTGAATTCTGAACTCAAGACAATGCTATTACACTACTGAATTGAAGATGCTCCTACTGCGCGTACAGACAGGGTATAAAACCTACTTCAAAAACATTTCTGAGGAAAATCGCTAAGAATGTGTTCTAGAATGTCACGTTCCGTCTATGACAAATCACCCATTTTGTCGCGAAATATCGCCAAATAGGCGATTTCGCGCCAAATCTGGCAACCCTAATTCCGCATTGCGGAAAAGCTATCTTACCGCAGCTATGAAATTTGGAAAAGTATATATGTTACCGTGAAAGACCGAAATTGGAGAATGTCAACTTTTACCAAATACGTTGGTGAAAGATCGAGTATTGCATTACATTCTTGTACATTCGGACCCTCACCAGTGTATGTCGACAATCACAGATATGCTCTGGTGTAGGTCGAAAAGAGAGGAGTATATGTACACGCTGTCATTGAAATAGGAAGTGTTTCACAAATAAATGCAGTTGTAAAAGCAAAGGCCTCTTGTGCAATTCAAAGTGTCATTATAGTTTAAGTTGTAGCAATAAATACCATTTTGAATCACATAATTTAGTAAGTTTTTAACTTCTATTATTTTCCTTTCTCATTTTGAATGTACTGTGTGTATTAAGTTCTTATGCTCTTAAGTTCTTATTTTAAGTTTCAAGTGCGTTTGTTCGCGACTGAATTGCGGAGAAGAAAATATAATATTCTTATATATTCAACATTCACCATTAGTACGCTGTGAATGTCGACATTTACCGGTGTAAGTAAGAAATAAGAGTATTTGGAAAATATTTCGGACATACACCAAGCGACTATGTGAATGTTGACATTCACCGGTGAATGTCGACATTCTACAGATTTCGGTGTTTCACCGTAACATATATATATAATAGTGCAATTGAATTCCTTAAAAAAGGGAGATGTTAAGAGAACTGAGACAATAAATTCGTATATTTTGCTTTACTTTCCCATAACTTTGATGAACTTTGACATTTTCTTCTTGACCAAACTTTCCGATAGCATAATCAGTCTATTAAACGCATAATAATTTGCATATTAGGTAAAGTATTATAATGAAAAGTAATTATACGATTAAATAAGCCAAAGGACAGAAAATGCCAAATGCGAGTTAAATAAGCCAAAGGACAAAAAATGTTTCTAAAATCATTCAGAAGAGTTTGTTTCGGAAAAGGATACAAGCACCATCTGTCTAGAGGAAAATGGCAACTTCGAAGAAAGGACTTGAAGGACTTGAAAGGAGTCTTGAATTCAAATCTCTTATGAACACCAATATTCAGCCGCCTCGCCATTGGTGGGCTAATATTAAGAAAATAAATATATTTATAATACTATTAGATGATGTATATCGCTCCCTTTGATAGAAAGGTGAATTGTTTTCCAGATGATTCATATTTCTATCGCTATCAATAAACAAAAAAAAATTACGAGCTGATATGAAGACGAAAATTTTTAACCAAACGTTTGCAAATGTAAAGGGCATTAAAATGAATAAAAATAATTTGTGATGATAGTGATAGCTCATGTAAGGTGTAACACGTAAATTAGAGGTTTGTTAAAACACAATATATTGTTTATGCAAAGTTCGCAAGGAAATTTCATGATAAAAAGTAATATATTACTTATATAAATAAGTATAATGTCGCATGAAATATGCTTTCAATAAGAATAATTACTTTGCCCCCATTTATATAAATTTCATAATAGTTTTGAGAAACAAAAAGGCTTTAGAATGTTTATATTTGCAGAAATGAATGGTTCGGGAGGCAATTTTCCAGTTTGAAATAAAGTCACGTAAATCCCATTCCTAGATTTTCAGGTGAAAAGTAATTCTTAGGAATATTATTCCAAATACAATTATTAGCTAGTGACTTAAGTCACTATTTTTTATTCATTTAAATATGCAGGTTCGTAATCAAGATTTAAAAAACTATTTATTTTTGAATTGTGAGGGACTCATCCTATATAATACTCTCACAGCATGTAAAATGTCTCGCTTGTTGTCAGGTTAGCAATTATATATGAGGATGGGTATGGTACATTAAATAGCATTGATGTACTATATAATTCCCTACTTTTGCATTTTCGGTTAATCTTTTCACTATGATCTCTCTTGATAATAAATAATTAAGGTATAGTAAATAAAAAATATAAAAATACCACCCACTATTTAATAGTAAAATATATTCCTATCAGACCGTTCATAACGTAACAAATGTTATTTTACGCTCTCATAACTTATTCCACTTTTTCTCTTTCTCTGTTTGGTATTTAGAGATCACGTGATTCACCTATGAGACTTTAGATCAAAGAGAAAACGTCAAGAAGCTTACAATAGAGTATTTGCTTATAAACAAATTCAATTGCTCAAAACAGTGTATTTGAGCAGGTGGAGCTGTTTAAACTGGCTTTATTGGAGGGTCAGCTGTAGTTGTAATGAGTGCATTTATTTACGTTATTAAAATAGTTAACAAGATTATTATCTATGTAGATTTCTAATTAGTTTTTAATTAAACCAATTAAATTTATTTTTGATTCTTTCAGATCTCAAAATTGACGATGTCAGCTTAGTCCGACCAAAGGAAGGTATATTTATTTTGTTTTCAATATGTTTTAATGCACTTGTTACAATGTTCAAGACTTTATCAAATGACAAAAATCAAAGCATTTTTTAAATTAGTGAAACTAAATACTCGTATGCGACCTTTGAATATAGTTTCATTAAGCATACTTAAATGAGTTTTCTAATTCTATTATTTCTTAGAGAAATGCAACATAAAAAGTGCACAAATATCCCATTATGTATATTCATTCGATTCAGACATGCTTTTGAAAATTTAATAATATGCATTTTAAAGGAGGACAACACATTTATTGTACACAATAATTAGTACAACTGAAAGTGGTTATGTAAGTCAGTACCTTGAATTCACAGAACATGTCTCACTTCTTCCACTCAACGTGCTGTCAATGTCATGGCATTCAAAGCATCGCTGCCATTTTCCAGGAACATTTGCCATAAGGCACTGTAGAGTGCTCTGTCCTACTTAACATTCAAAATTTTCTGACGAGATTAATTTTATTGTTAATGTTAAGTACGGTGAGAATGAAAACTTGCGTTTTGAAATTGTCCTATAAAAATGACTGCTGCAGGGAGGTCCATGAAATTGAATGACAGCCACTGTCTATCATCATGTAGAAAACAAGTCGTCCGGGAAATGCAGCAGACGTTTTATAGGAATGTTTCTATGTTTCCTTCATGCTATCATCTTATAATAGCCTTAAAAATGCAATCCATCAGCGAAATCCAAATATTACTATGGACAATCTACATCGAGTTATGACAAGTACACATGGGAGATGGTAACAATACCTTAATTAACAAGAATATTGTTTCGAAGACTCTAAGATATTGTTTTGAAGAAATTAAGCCTATTTTTTGAATTTAAGACTTATATGACATACCATGCTTGCGTTGTATTTATTAATGTTCACTTAAAATATTTTCTACTGCTTCGAAAATGGATAATGTTAAAAGGTGTCATTTTTATAATGCAGATTTTTAAGATAATTATTATTTTACTTTGATTTAAGTTTGTCATTAAATAGCAACCCTAATGTCGGCGAATATTTCAAGCCTAAATATCCTCAAAGCTTTAAAACGCAAAAGGTATCTTACTTTCATGCATTAGAGATCTCTTTCTGTAAATCGAAACTTAGCGGAAATTTTAAATGCATCTCTATATATACTTTGTTTTTCTTTTTATTAGAAATGTATTCAAAGTCATTCACATGTTCTCATACCAAATTGGCAGTATAACAATTTTTGCAGTAATCATTGATTACGCAGAGAACATGAAAACAAGCTCATGCTACTCGCAGTTCACAGCACCGCAACTTATTTAATTTTTAAGCAGGATTATTCATTATTAATAGACTGCGTAGTTGTTTTTCTGAGATTATGGAAAGTAATTGTCATATTGTTATGAAAATCTCTACAAAAGTTGTTCAGATATTAATTTATGTTTGTCATTCAGCTCCGATATCGGCAACGATCATTAATTCAGACAAATAATACCGATGGCGATCTGCACACATACCTGTATTTTCTCACATTTGGAAACGACAGTTTGATGTTTATGCATTTATTATGTACAGAACATTAGAAATTGCAATTTTGTTATCCATACGTACAGAAAAATGATGCAAATGAAAGTTAAAATGTATTTAAAGTGTTAATTGAAATAAAAAATTGCAAAAAGAGTTTAATATTATAAAGCTATTATAAGTACGTTTTATTTTGAAGTGTGTAATATGTTTCATTTGCATTATGGTTGTCCAATAAAAGTTATTGCTAAGCTGAAATTATATATTAGTTTTAGTCATTATTTTTATATTTTCTAGGAAAAGAAGATTGGCACCCTATGTTTAATAAAGGTATGTCTTTGACCATGAAAAGTTTCAAAAATTAAGAAGAAACGTATTTAGGAGTTTTTTATACCTTTTATTTTGTATTTGTGTTAATTTAATATCTTTACATTTTGAATGGTTCATATAAAAATATAGCATTTGTATTAAAGAGTTATTATAAGTAAAAACAATCAATGATTATTAAAAAACTTTTGATTTTCATTTTTAATTCCATGCAAAATACGTGTAATTATTTTCCTTTTTGTTATGAAATAAAAATAAATGATTGTATGGAATAGGTACAAAGCAATCACTATTTTCATTTCGTTTTAGATTTTCCCATTTTCATACAATTATTACAATGAGAATGTTGCAGTAAACGCCTAGAAGCTTTAAAAACTCTTTTTTTCCTTTCTATGTTTTGTGAATGTTTAATTCTTAGTCGAAGATGAATATATCCTGGTAACCAATAAGAGAGAAATACTAAGAAACAGAGTTAACATTTTGGGTAGAAAATTCGGCATTTTCTATTGCATATAAAAATCTAGAAAAAGTATTCAACCAGAGACTTCAAATAGAAAATTGTTTTTGTCCATTCTTTGCCATATCTCGTTGAAAAAAGGAAGTGAATTTATAAATGTGACATTGTTTTGAATGTAAAATATGCTTAGATGTCTAATGTTTAACATTTATACTTTATAAACTAGAACACTTGCAACCCAATATTAACATACATATTTTTGTTAACTACATAGTTATATTTGTTTGCAATTTTTTTGTGTTGAAGTTCATTGCTTTGAGTGCTTCATTGCTTCATATTATACTTGTATTACACTCATTTTTACTACTGATACGATAATTATTATGCTTTTAAGAAATTTCATCTACATTTTTTGTGATATTTGAAACTGAAGTCTCATTTTGTTAAATGCTGCTTTTTTAATTGTTTTAAAATTTTAATAATTTGCCTTATTTGTTACCTCTTTATGTCTTCAATGATATTGCCTTATTTTATGAACTTTTAATAATCACTGATTTATACAAGTAATTCTTTTTTATAGCACTGAAATATGGAGATATTTTGATGCTAAACGAACAACAGGAAGAGGTAAAGACAACGAATGTGTTTTATATCATGTTTGTTCAATACAATTCAAATCTATGGATATTGTATTCATTTCCCTTTAGGAACGTCAAGGTATTCGCTTCGAGAAATATGGAGGAAGCAGATGGCCTGAAAACAAAGTTCCCTATGCAATATCTAGGGCATTCTGTAAGCATGCTTATTTTCTGTTAAGTTGCATTCGACATTTCCTAAGCAAAAGGAAGGAATTTATGCAGAATTTTGATAATACCTCATGTAATACCCTACCATATGTACATATTTCAAATGTCGAAAATTCCTTTACTACATTCTTTATTTGCTTGAAGTTGGCATTACGTAATTATATTAAATCACGGTTATATAAATATTGCTTCCACAAACAATGTTACTTAAACATTACTGCTTTAAAGTACGCCTAATTCAAAAACTACAAGTCTTTTTTGTAGCATTAAATTGCCAATTTGCTAAACTGAAAATTCTGCATCAAATTATATTCTACTGTCGTATCACAACACCCACTTGTTATCATATTAAGATTTAAAACAAAATGGAGTAAAAATATGGAATGGACTTCAAGTTGTCAGTTTATATCCGCTGCATAATAATTGCTAAATATTTCGCAGTAAGAACATATAGTACCTTGTAAGCTTAGATGAGATATTAAATACTGATTTATAAATCGTAAATAATTATAGGAATTTAATATTGATCTTAGTTTCTGTTTAAACAGTTTTTTCTAATCTCAAATTAATAAAGAAATTAATATATCAATATTTTTATATTTTTAAAATACTAGTGATCTTGAGTTATCGGATCTTGAGTTCTTGTAGTGAGCTAGAGTTATCCGCAGTAGAAAGTAGAAAGAAGTCGCAAAAAATTAATGTCTTTATTGTTATTCTACAAAATTAAAATAAGATTTTATTCATAGGAAATTCCAATAATTTCTAAAGTGTGCAGAGTGCATGAATTAAGAAACATTCCTTGAATATTGAAAGGTAAATTAAACCAAAGCATCATAAGTGTCCTATTGCCCTCGACAACCAGTGCTAATTTCAACATGCTGCAGCAGCGGTAGCAAAATGAAAGAAAAAGGTCAAAGAAAAAAAGGAACATTATAATTTAATATGCTTTTATGATACTGTGTTATTAAAATTCTATATGCTTACCAGAAAGCATGAAAGAAGAGCAAATATTGAAATGCTTACTAGGAAGAATAAAGAACGGAAGCAGGAACTTCAAATACATCCACGAATATTCAACTCCAAAGGCATGTTTGTTGACAAACACTCTAAATTCATGCATCTAACAGCTCTCATACAATTCAACAGAAGTTTTAGAGAGGTACTAAAGTTGTTAGAATTCTTGATATTCATTTTGGTCCTTACATATTGAAAGGAGTTTCGGAACTGAAAGAACTGAATTACATTGGATAGTAGAGAATGAAATAATTAAATGTGATCATGAAGAGATTAAAGTGGAGAGTTTTAGATACGTTGTACATTTTTGAAGGCAGTAATTCAATAATTTGAGCTTCAAATGCATTTCTTTAAAATTTGGTTTTATGTATAACTTTCAAACATACTGTGAAATCTTTCGAGCTTTATAATTTTTCCAAATGCATGAACTAAATAAAACTCCCTTGTGTAAATATTTTCCTAATAACGTCCTTATTTCGACTTAATCTTTCCTGATTTATAACATGGTAAATATGTCTAAAAATCTTGTAATTATTCTTCGATTATCCCTAATTTTTTATTTATTACAATATCCTTTAAACAATAGTACAAGAACCCGAAAGAAGCGTATAGTTTATTTTAGGAACGTTATTTCTCAAACAAGTTTCAATGTCTTTCTCGCAGCATTTTTGAAAACTTTGTCTTATTTTTAGAAAAAGCCCGGAGATAACTAACATTCTTAGATGCAGGTGTCAAGCTTGCTTTAACATGTACTGGTATATATGTGAAAGATTAAAACATAATAAAGAATACTATGAAACAGAACCTAAAAAATCTTGAAAACAGACAAAATCCTCGCATATCAACATATCATTAAAAATTAAATTGAAATATTTTCATCGGCATCGTATACAGAAACGTATGTAAATGTGCAATAATAAACTCAGTGCTATCATATAAGCGTACAATTTCCTTATAATGTTATGTCATATGCATAATTTCTTTGCCCAAAATAACTTGCCTAAATGTGAAGTCCTAGTGCCGTAAACAGGTGCTCCTATTTTGCATTATCCTATACATATATTAAGGTTATAGGAAAACAAGATTTTTTTAAAACTGAAGAGCTAAGAAATTTAACATCGTCGTGTATTTGCTAGGTAAAGCTATGGATGTGACTTTTGAAACGATCTGACTATATATATTTTTTTTAATGCAAGGGTGTTTTAAATTTACAATATTCTTTGGCTAGGTTTATGAAATAAATGTGCCTTTATGTTTTACGATACAATTTAGTTGTAAAATTATCTTTATTCCATGAATTTCAGCTTCCTCTCAAAAAAGAGCAATAACACAGGCTGTTGAGGTGTGGAATAATGAAGTTAAGTGTGTCAGATTTGTTCCGAGGAGATGGTGGCAAAGAGATTATGTTTTCTTCTTTGACGGAAATGGGTAAGAATGAAGGTGTTACCAATATACATTAGTATTCTGTTAATAATGTCAGTTTCAAACTTAAGAAAAAAAAAAAGGAAGTAGAAATTTATAAGTTTCGCTGCATCGTTATCAGGGCGTTGGTGGAACGAAAGGAGCAGCCTAAATGAAAGTTTAAAACTTAAAATAATCCCAGAAGAAAAATCAATGAAATCTGTGTCTTTATCAGTCCAACCCCTACAGGCTGAACCAAGAAACTGCAGAATTATAGCACCCAAAACACGAAGAAATTTTAAAAAAGCATAAAAGTATTATTTGGAGCAGGCTGGATCCAAAAATCAAAACATGAAAATATAAGCAATCCAATACATGAAAAAATAAAAACACATGCCAATTTGGAAACCAATACATGAAAAAAAATACAAACATATTTAAAGTTTGAAAATTTTTTACCCGGCTTGTTTGGTAAAGATCGTGTTAAAAATTTTGAAAATATATAGCATGAAATTGTAAATAAATAATAAAACTTAAAAATCTAATGATAATAATTTTTAATTTACGTAGTTCGACTCCAAAACACATGTAAAACAGAAGCAATCCGACATGTGAAGAAATAATAAATGAAAATTTGATCTATAAAATATAAAATAAAATAAAAAATAAAAAACAATATTAGGAGTTAATTTTAAAATATATAACATTACAGTAACAATGGTTTTGAAATGCAAAAATATATTCGACCTGTTTAGTAGCAAAGTCCTTGTGCTAAGCCTATTGCGTCAAGTAATGAATTTAGATCAATTACGAGTTTTAAACATTAATATTAATAAATTAATTAGGAAAAACTTTTATTGCAATATTAAATATTGTGTAGTAAAAATGAATAATTTTTAAAAAGGAAAAACTTCGAATTACCTGGATTTTGAATCCTAAAAGAAATCCAATGGTAACTGCCATAAAATTAAATTCAAGTGTATCGCTTCAGATCAACGAATGAAATAAGCTGCAGTGTTTAGTACCAAAATATTTATTTTTTTTTTAAAATTCGGCGATAGAGAAAGTGGGCAGTACATTGTGAAAAAATAAAAAATGTGAAGAACAAATAAATAAATTTGATGAAATTAAATAATTGTGACGAAGTTAGGGCAGTGTCTAATAAACTGTTAGGCATCTTCGAGAATGCAATTTAGCAAAAATGTTACAAATAATAGGTAATCTGAAAAAGAAATATGGTAGAAAATGAATTTTAGTTTAGTCTTCATAATCATAAAATTTGCCTAATGTGTGAATTTAGGAAATAATATTGAATTTCGTTTATTAGGAACAGATTAATAAAAATGAGAATTTGTGGGTAATTTAGTAACAGTAATAATTTAGTATAAGGTAGTAAGGGTAGTATAAAAGAACAATAACTATAACATGGAAACTTTCAAATAGCATAAAATAATTATTACGCCTACTATTAATATTAGGCTGTAAATATTTCACAGATTACTGCATTAATAATTAGTTATTGATCAGTTCAGTTGCATTTCTGCAATAATACATTTTGGTCCTCTTTCTGACACCAGCATACTTATCACAAACCTACACTTTACACGACAGGCATTGAATCATGTTTCCCTTGAAGTCATCACAACAGATAGCACAGAATAATGAATCCTCGTTAAAACTGATAGGCTTACTTACGGAAGGCAGTGAAAGTTTAGCCTTAACTGTCTTCTTCGGTTCAGAAGTTTGGAGTCGTTTTTTCACAGCGGAGTCTCTTCTTAATTTTTTTTTCAGCCTCTTCCCGTATCTGCTTGTATGGGCTACTTGTTGAAAGAAATTACGGACAGATTGGGCTGCATATAGAGACTCTGCTCACTTTTACGGTTAAGAGATTTTTTGTTATCTAAGATATTGTGTATCTAGGCAAAACTAGAGGCTAGGACGTTAACAGTGGAGAAGTTCCTAGGAGATCATAAAGATGGACGCAATAGGAGAAAACTGTATTGTTGTTTGGATTTTTAATTGATCCTTTTCCAACTAAGAATTTAGATGGAAGCGGAGCGATTTCACTCAACTTTCACTTTAACGTTTGATAACAATATTGACGCCCAAGAGAGAAGCGGTTCTGATTCTGTTCCACTCGTGGTTTGCGTTCATTAGCCAATTTCCTGTTTTAGCAGACCATTCGTTACCTTCCTTATTGTTGCTGTTGGCCATGTGCTTTCTCTAGCAGTCTTGCTATATGGAACTGGGTAACTAATTTCTGGAACTGAACTGCTAATTTCCCTTCTGTCTGTCTCTGTTATGGAAATTTCTTCATTTCATTGATGTTCAATGGCTTAAAGAATGAAACGTCAAGGGGTTGCAGTCTATGGGTTGTGTGATCCAGGAGTGAGAACATAATTATATAATTTTCTAGAGCAAATTCTAATGCTTCGAGATTTCTATTATGTGTACGATGTCCATTTAGACGGAGTAAAACTTTTTCTCCTTCTAAGGGTGAACTGTTTCGATGAAATGTTTTAGCTACCGTGCAAATATATATCTGTTTATGAATTCACTTTCCAGATTGTATGCAGAAATTGTTCCTGGTGGAGCTCCATCTTGTAATTCGTCCGCAGATTGTGTACTTTTAGAATTAGAAGTTGTGGGTCTTATTGTCCAATGGCAGATGCACAGCAAACTGCTGTTGTAGCGCCTCTTTCTTCATTGGCAATGGCTCCTGCAGCCTTCTAACCCTTCAAGAACCATTCGAGGTTTCTTTTGGACTACTGACAAGCCTATCTCGTCTTCAATGAAAACTCGAGTTACATCGAATTTATTTTCGTCAACAACACTCTCTAATAAGTCAAAAAATGTTTGACGTTCTCTTTATTGAATCCTTTTGCCCGAGCAAAGGATGTAACGCATAGCAACGCAGGCTGGCTCATTGAAGACAACTGGCAGTCGGTATGTAATTCTTCCGTGATTTCGGTTATAACAAAGTAAACAACCATTGTTAAAATAGCCAAATAAATCTGACTTAACGCAATTTAAATATTATTAGTAACATCTAAAACGCTATTAACATCTCACTGGTATCTATATTTTCTTTGCATTGCTAAATTAGAAGACGAGTACAAAAATCTTACCTTCTTGTAAAGCAACTTTGTTTAAGCGTAGATCAACTCCCAGTCAAGATGGCGGTTTTCAAGCTTTATGCAGTATATTACACAGCCAACAGGTAGCGTCTACTGTCAATAACTAGAAAATAATGGAGAAGGCTCAACGAAAGCAGCTGGCCGATCGATAGCAACGTGATGGTCAGAGGTGTTGTTATTTAAAAAATTGTCAAGTGCTAGTAATTCTTTGTTTTTTAATTTTTTAACTAAGTTATTACTATTAAACTTTTAAACGTATTATTTATTTTGCATGATTGTGAATACTTGTTTCCATTTTCAGCATGCAATTGAATTAGCTTTTAACTGCTTTTTACTTGCCATTTATTCATTATCATGCCTTATATTTCACAATTAATTGCTTTTTCCTTCCCAGTTTCATTAATACTTTCCTGGTTTCCATTAATATTTTGTTTAATTTTCGTGTTTTGCATTTTTTGTATTTTTATTGTTTTTAATCCTGTTATTTTCTATTTGCTACTAATCCTTCTATTTATTATTGCTATTATTGTTAAAACAAACCATTAAGAATACAGACCTTGAAAAATTTCCAAACTTTTATGTATATTGTGAGATTGATGAAGGTCTCCTATTGGATACCAATCACGTTATCTGCTTTGACTACTCTGATTAACTTATTAGCTCAGATATAGATACAAAATAGATATAAAACTCCCTACGTAGACGAAATGCTAACAGGAAATATGTTTGCAAGGAAGACTTATTCAAAGATATGTTTCCTCATCTAGACGGGGCTTAGCATAGCTATGTGCAGATAGTCATTCCCGTCGTTCTACAGCTGAATTTGCTAAGAAAGTGGTGTAGCCTTTTCAAAGCATGGTTAAGCGCTAGCGTCCATAAAATCGTGCACATGCAGACACATCAAGTGATACAGTTATATTCCCATCAATGATAGCAGTGTAAAGTTCACCAAATTAAATCTACGAAACATTAAGAAATTTTATTAATTTGTATTAAGCTTAAACTTCGAGGCAGCAGTTTAATAGTAAGTCTTGTACTGTTATATAGCTTGAGTACTTTTACGTAATGTACTTGGTTATTCGTCGAAAATAATAACTTCTTATAGAATATAATAATTTAGTATGATTAAAGTTTCTAGTTTTCTGTATTTTTTATTAAAAAAGTAGCAGAGTTTCCAGATTTGATGTTTATTTTCAGATGCTATTCCAACTTAGGCCGAGTGGGCGGACAACAGCCAATTTCCATCGACACCAACGGATGTCTCAGTCAGTCAACTATCTTGCACGAGATGGATCATGCTGTAGGGTTTGCTCATGAACAAAATCGTTCTGATCGCGATAAATATATTAGAGTGCTGTTTGAAAATATACCTGAAGGTGAGCTACTTTCGCATAACAAAAGAAATCTTTCAACTATTTCACTATGGTCAATTTCTACTTTGTCAATAACATTAGGAAGAATCTTATTAGAGTTTTAGCCAGTCATAGGTTATGTCTACTTGAGCGACTGTAGGATATATGAGTAAAAGCACTGATTAATACATGCTATCTCAATAATACTTCGGTGGTTTACTATTTTGTGTAAGTGATAATTCTATTTATAAAAATTAAATTCTATCAGAGTCATTAAGATCCATTTACATCTAATCAAAGTTTAGTCTTTACTCTAAAAGTTGTTATTTTTTATGAATTTTGCTTTATCTTTTAGTGTTGAATATGAATAATTGAAAATTAAGTCTGATGTTTTAGACAATGAAAATTCGATCTGTATATAAGCAATAAATCTATAAGGTATTTCTTCCACCTTCTTAGCATGCCTTCGTAGTGAAGTGGTCAACACCTGGGCGCGTATTCCAGAGGTCCGTGGCGCGATTCCCGCGTGGGCGTTGCTCATTTTTCATCTCTCCTGCTTTCCGAAAACACCTAATGTCTCTAGAAATCTACCTATTTACGACAGAAATTATAAAAATACAAAGAATAACTGAAATCTAATTTATTGTATAAAAGATAAGTATTATGGAATATTAATTAACACCATCTAATCCGCAAACATTCGAGTAAAACTCTAGAAACAGAAAAAAGTGCATTATTAATCGTAACCAAAGTATCTTTCGAAATATTGACAAAATTATAGCAATTGTAAAGCTTGTCCAAAATATTAATACACTTCGGAAATAAATGAAGGAAAGTAATGACAACGAAATCAAAGAGATAATTTGAGTACTCTCTTTTACTCAGCTTACATAGCTCCTCATATTTATATAGCTTTCATGACTGTACGTAAAAGTTTGAGGTTTTGAAGATAATATCTAATATAATATCCTATAATATCCATTTTTGAAGATAATATCTAGTATCTCCCTCCAGTTCGTAATTAGAATCAAATGAAAAAATTAGAATAATTGTAAAGATTGTTTAAAATGTTGGTTACTAAACTAAATTGTTATAATGATTTTGTTTTGCCGAGAACTAACAAACTTAGATGAGTTAATAGAAGCTGAATCTCTTTACCAAACGATATCGCCGCATTACAGAAGTTTTCTGATTCACGTAACATAAAACCATTAAAAATTTCACGACACACCTCATCCTTCACTTCTTTGTGCTCAGTATATAACCTGTATAGAGTTTCTGTGTTCGCTATGAAAGAGACTGTATACCTCACAGAAAATATTATGAATTCTTTAGTCTAATCATACGAGTATTTACTCAAGACTTAAACATGTAATCCTCGATGGTCATGGACATAAAAAGTATACGTTCGTAGTTAAAAAATACCACTCTTCAGTGGTGCTGTTTTACCTTATATCAGGTTTTATGTGCGCCTTGCTTAAAAATTATACTCAGCTTCTTAGCCATATGTGATATAGAATCTAATTTACACATATTAAAAGTATTTTTTCAGCCGTCAATAAATCTTCTTTTACATCGGAACCGGTTCATCTCTGCTTTGGTTTTTAAGTCATCAATAAACTCTCGATTACTAGCTGCTGATCTTCGCTGAAAGAATTATTTTGAAAATTACAGTTATTTTCTGAAGGTTTTGTGAATGCGTACTTAAGAACACTTCAGTTATTTCTCAGCATTTGAGATATAAACTAGTACGTCAGCTGTTCTTTTTGTGCAGTCACTAACTTAACTGAAAAATTATATAATATTTCTAAGGGATTCAATTATATTTAAGTTTTATACTATGTAAGGAATTTCTTCCTCCTTAGCGTGCCTTAGTGGTGTAATTTGAAGCAGATTTTATTAGCTATCGGGACATTTAAAGATGAATTCCTGGGAGAGCAGCTCTAACTGTTCATGTTTCCTGCTCTAATAAGTAACAAACGATACGTGACGTCCGAATTAAAATGTTGTGGAAGATAACTACATGGATCGATACCATCTGAATTTGGTGACTGGGTTCCCTATTCCCTAGTCGCTTTTTAATTAGGGAAGAATGTAAGGAATTTTCTCCGGTTGATCTTTACATTATGGTAACTTGGCGATTTTTTGGCGAAAATTTGGCAACCAACTCTCCTACAGCAACCCTCTATTTTTTTCCCCGCCGCCATTTTGTCTTCACGAAGTAAAGACATGTTTCTTTTCTTCTTATCTACTGAACACTTCTTCCAACAATCTACTAGCCGAATTACACTTATGCTAGAAATTTTATCAAACAAAACTGCTTAATCATGACAAATATTCACTGCAAAATTGGGAAAGAGTGCACAATACCATACTCCTTACGCGTTTTTCAAAATAACACATACACAAAACCATGTACACGCCGACTTATTTTTACTTAAAAAAAATCCCAGAATTGCCACAAAAATGGCATTGCGGACACTCTTCACTATATCCATGTACACTGCTTTTTTCTCATAAATTAGAAAAATTTCACGAAAATACATGACAATTTTCTCAATCTTTAAACCCGGTAAAAAGAACATATATGAAATTACCTGATCGCGAAAAAGTATTTACCCTTTACAAATATGAACATTTCCACATATAATAAAATAAATAAAATATCCAAAAACTTTTACCTCTAAATCATCTATTACATTATACACGTCACCAACGAATTCATACCGCAAGCATTACAAATACTTAGTATCAAATATTTAAATTATTTCCATGCACGTTTATTTCAACTTAAACGTATAGCAAATTCCTACAAACATAAAATTCACAAAATAACTATATCATTTCATTAAAATATAATTAAATTCAAAACCACTACTTAAAATATAAATGAGCACATACATTAAATTAATAAAATTACCTTACAATCCTAATTACTTTAAACTAAATCATTGCTAATAACAATTTTCCCAATAATACCAAATTCCTTTCCACCTTACATTTAGAACAATGCATAAAAATAATATCCTCAAATAATTAAAAATACTAATTTACCTAATCTTCTTCAGAATCTTGATTACGTGGCGGATACACTTTTCTAATTCATTCAATAAAATTATTGAAAGATTTTTTCTGCGAATTTTTCCTCCATACTTCCTCCGCTAAATAAAAAGCAAACTTCTCTTTATCACAATGCCTAAATACCCATTTCGAATTAACTTTAGTTAGGGACATGGGATCCAAAAATTAAACAACACTGTTTCACACAACACAGTATAAAACTAAATACAAAATTTCCACATTTTTTCCTGATTTCCCCCCTTTTCCGATTAAAGAACCGTAATTCGTCCATTAATATCACATGACATATCCCATGATCTCTCATTTCCCTCACACAAAATAATGCGTAATCGGAACTGAGTACTGCTCACATTATTACCAAAGTCCCAGGTAGTAACCTTTATCGCCTCCAAAATGTCGCCAAACTACCAGTTACCATATTGTAAAGATCAACCTTTTCTCCGTATTTACTTCGTGGTGTAATTGGGAGAATTTCCGGTTAGCAACTGAAAAGGCTAGATTTCACATGCCAGAGAAAGAGCTGTTGATTTTTCATGTTTTCTTCCTCAATGAATACCAATAGTCTCTATAAATAGTCTTCATCGAATGCGTTTGTTAATCAGTTAACTTGAAAATGTTTAGAATGAAATGAGTTTCTGCATTATTCTAACCTTTTTGGATAAGAGTAGCATAATTTAAATTTTATCACATTCGAACAAATGATCATATAGTGCTATACTCCTTTTTTTTAATTAATGGCAGAACACTTCTCGGTTTAGATGTCATACCAGGTGCCGCGTTAGGTGAACATGTCAGTGTGACGAAGTTCTTTTCTAACATTCCCTATCTAATTTAAGCAAGAGCGAGTTTGTCTCAAACCCTTGAAAAAATCTTAGAGGTGACAATGTTATTTACCACAAAAGGTACCTAAGTTTTCATTAATTTTTATTTATCTTGGTCAAATTCTAAAGAATGTTAAAATAATATTAAAAATTTACCATTACAGTCTTACAAATCAGAACAACATTGTAATTTTCCTGACGTATTGAGCATCCTGCTTTGCTTTTACCTATCAATGAAAGATTTTATCAAAATGTAAAAAAAATGTCTTGCTTTTATTAATTTTAATTCTATACAAAATTGTCTCTTTTTGTTTATTTTCAAAGTTCATGCATCAAGAACTATTTCTGAATAAAAAGTAATAAATCAAAAATTGAAAGGATTTATTGAAAAAATTCTAAATTAGTTTTAACTTTTAATCACAAATGATTTTTAAAATAATTATTGCCAATATAATGACTGAACTTGTACATTTTATGTAAAAATAACACAATCATTTTGACCAGAGAGATTTAATCTTGCTAAATGTTTATTATGTTTCCTTGAAACGTGGGAATTTGGATGTTGACTAGAATTCAGTATGTATTTCTCTACCCATGGATGATATCTTTGGATATATCGAATTTCAATCTTATTGTTTGTTTATGCATTGTACCGCCACTCAGTTTTATTAGTTTAGGTTTTATGTACACGGGGAAATGAGTTATATTGTATGACTGAATATATCTCTGAATTGATTAATTTTTGTTTGAGCAATTTCTGTAAGAGATGAAAATGTTTCTTTTCTGTTTTTCTTTCATTGATTAGAATGGCGATCACAATACGAAAAAACCAATTCTGAGGATTTCGGTCTTCAAGGTAACTATGATTACTACTCAGTGATGCATTATCCTGTTGGTGCACCAGGAACCGATAAACCAGCATTCGAGGTACTCGACAAAAATATTGATTTATCTAAGATAGGACACGGAGAAGGATTTACGGAAATGGATATACAGAAAATACATGAGCTCTACTGTTCATGAAATATCTGATATCAACTCAAATACAAATTGGTCTTTTCTTCCATTACCTTTTTCTTTTCGTAAAGTGTTTTCCTCCTATAAATATTATTATTAATATTCTATTCGTAATATGTATTTTAATAAAAATATGTTACAGTGTCCTTTAATATTAGTCTCTCTGCATTATTTTTCAGTGTTTCAAAATAATTAAGCCTTGTGAGAAGTTGATTAATATGCATATATATCTGTACAAAAATCTAAAGAACTGGAAAATACTCAGTTATTTTAAGGACCTGAAAGGAAATTCTGAATAACACATAACTTGGGTTACTTAAATATAACAAATTTTCGTTTCTATTCTAACAGGTCATATTTGAAAATAAAAATTGTTTTCTCAAATGTTATACATTAACGTTCCTGTAGAAAATAAATTAAAGGAACAGATGCGTAACAAAACATTACTGATGAAGCACAGATGTTTAATAATTTGTTAATATAATAGTGTTGTGATATTCAGAGAACAAAACATAAACACGGTAGAAGTATGGGATGTCACAGGTGTCTTTTCTGTAATTTTGCTAAGATTATAGTATATGTTTATAAAAAATCTAATCTTCGCAAAAATTTTCTAAATTAAATTTACTAACTTAAATTCTCCAATTTAATTACTTAACCCCTTCGCGCCGACTGTCACGTATACGTGCCAGCAACGAACACACTTATCTACCGGCCGACACGCAGGCGTGCCAGAGCATTGTTGCATTCTCTACCGACTGTCACGTATTTGTGCCAGTACCTTGGAACGTTTTTCAAACTATAATTTCTGCCACATGATGGCACTGTATGTCCATATGGTTTCAGATACATGTGCATTAGACCTTCTACTTGAAATGAGAGAAGCATGACTCACATACACGTGTTTTTGATTATATAAACAAACGGGGAACTAAATGTTTCCGAATGGCGTGATTTATGACGTCTCTTTAAATCGCACTTTATTCGCACGTGGTAGTTGTTTATTGTAAGTAGAAGTTTTTATATGCGCTAAAGCGTTGAGTATTTCCGTTTACAATTCAGTTTTTAGAAAATAATTAGATCTTGTTAGACGTGAATTCTTTCTGTTTTTACCGTTTCAATGTCGAAGCGTCGAAAATGTTTAACAGAGCATGAAATAGCAGAAATGATGCAAAATATTTCAGATATTGATTCTGAAATTCTGATATTCTGATATTGATTCTGAAAGATTAACTGAAAGACATTTTCCAAAACTTTGTTCAGAAGAGACTGATAAGAAAATGAGACGACGATGCTTCGTTTGTTCACATTCCCGGAAAATCCTCCAAAACGGCAAATGAGTTATTACGAGTTCAAAGAATGTAACGTAGGACTGTAGATCCCTGTTTTAAAATTTTTCATACGAAAAGAGAATTTTAAGTAATATATTTAGTTTTCAGATTATAATGTTAAAAGTCATAAAACGGTGAGTAATTAAAATAAAATGTGTAAAATATGCATTTAAACAAGAAATAAGGTAATTAAAGTATATATATATAAATATCTATAAAGCATAAGCCGTTTAAATACTCTATAGAGCATTATTAAACAATGCGTTGATACTTCGGAAATTTCATGGATTTAGGCTTAGTAGAAAAAAAGCCCCCGGCACTGGAGAGACGCTCGCGGAAGACACTGCCGGCCTCCGCGATAAGCGCGCGTTTTCGCTACCCGGCTCGAAGGGGAAATCTAATCTTCGCAAAAATACTTCGCAAAAATTTTCTAAATTAAATTTACTAACTTAAATTCTCCAATTTAATTACTTAAAGAGCATTTGTTTCATTATTTTTTTAGCCCAAGACTTTCAATTTATCAGGTATTCCTTTGGTAACCTTACAGGGAACTTTACAGTGTTAAAACGTTTATAAAATATTTATAAAAATAAGACGGCAGTTGAATCCAAAAGTACTTGACATAAATTTCCCACTGGGGTTTCCAAGATTTCCAAATGAAATCCCGTCTCGTCTTTAACTGTCAAACAAGGAAATACAAAAGTTTAAAGAAGCTAATGATTTATTTTGAACTTCAGCCAGATGTACAGAACTAACACATTTAACAAGCTTAGCTTTCTCATGTTTAAAATATTTATAAGACTTAAATATAGGCCCTAGTCACCTGGCTGTGCTATTTCAAGTCTATTAACTGCATTTTCAAGCGTAAAATTCACTAATTAATAGGAATCGCGCTACGAGGGATAACCGAGCGTAGCTTGATTACACCCGAATGAAGACGTCAGACCTCTCTCTTAAGCTTAGCTTCTTCCTCCTTATCTCCTCCCATTTTATTCTTGTGTGGTAGAAGAAACACAGAAGTACAGAACAGGTTTAACACAAGAAGGAATGTGATCATAAACTTTACTAACGCATGACATACGATAAAAATGTCATACTAGGAAACAGAATAAACACTTGATTTTCGAGTATAAAAGTATAAAACATAAATAAGACAAATAATGTATAACAGCAGCTGAGAAGCAAAATTAACAAAAATTTAAAAAATGCACCACTTAAAAGTTGCGGCAATCATTTCGCCATCGTAATAAACGACATGCTATCTAAATAAAATCCAATTATGGTGGAGGAGAAATCGATATGAAAAACCTGATGTATCCCTTTAGATGTTTTAACATCAGAACTGTGTTTTGTAGCAAACAAAACAATAAAATATTGATTTCTATTTGTTTCATCTCACCTTTTGTTTAAGTATATAAAATAAGAGTAAATTATTGAAGTTTCTTTGGAATTTTATCCATTTTTAAAATTAAAACGACGATGTACTACTTCAGCCTTAAAATGGATTTCCTAATAGCACATTTGGGAATGAAAGAAAATCCCCCTCTTTTTTTGATTGATGAAAAATCCATGGCATCATATAAATAACGCTGCCAAATAAATTTATGGCGTCATCACTCTTCGGCTTTCGTTTTGGGAGCGCTGTTACCTGTCAAGAGTTGCAAATGTGTGACAGATATCAACAACTTGATTGCGGAAAATCTGATAAAATGTTCGTAAAACTGTTTGATATACGTTTAAAGGTTGATTGTGAAAGGATGAGGGGAAAGGCATATTTTCAAACATCGTCTTTATCTTTATTTTCAAAAATCGTCTTTATCTTTTGACCCATTAGTTGCTGGAATTAGATTCGCAATTAAAAAAAAAAAAAAAAAAAAAAAAAAAAAAATTGGTAGAAATAAGTTGTGTTGATTTCAGAGAAACGAGAATTACAAATATAAAAATGAAATAAATAAATAAATGAAAAGCAAATAATTATTTTGTACTAATACATTTGTTACAAAAACGATCCAAAGTTTATAAAAAATGTAATTCCATATAAAACAGGCCCATAACGGCGTTCGAATCCTGCGAACGGTCTGGCTGCATGAGGGTTTTTGTGATTTTCCCCTTGAGTATTGTATATACGAGCCATTTTTCCTTAGAAAGTCCTCCATGAGGGCATCCATCCCCTTAGGCAGATAGCCCTCGAGACTTTGCCGTACTCACATAAACCAACCAAACCATATAAACCAATGAAATAACATAGATTACAACTAGCGTCACTTAAAGTTACGGTTAAAAATAAAAGTTGGAAATATATATTTTCATGAAGTATACATATTGCTCCTAAATTTCACAGTTTAAGCAATGAGATAGTTTAATTAAACAGGTAAATTAACGATGCTATGAAGTAATGAAAGTTATTGCATCTGAGAACAAATAATGTCACATGTAGCATCATAATAAAAAAGAAAGAGGAATTATTTTGTAACATGGCAGTAATGCCTCAGTAGCGTCCGTAACATAACTCAATAGTGACGAAAAAAGAATAAGTAGGATAGAGATTAATAATTTTTGTACAGCTACCAACCTTCAGACTAATTGTTGACGAAGTCTGCCTATTGTGTTTATTGTAAAAAAGCGGAAAAAGACAAATTAAAGTTTATGTTGTTATGCGTCGCAAAAATATTTTTTAAAAATTTTTCGGAGGATCGTCAAAAATTCATAAAAGATTTCAGCAGTAATAAATGTATACCTTTTAAATTGCAATAAAATTAATAACTAATTTTTATGGTACGCCTCCTTAGCTGAAGTACTTGGAGATGCCTGGGCTTTTCGCCGAATGAGGAGGTTTCGTTTAGGGGGATGGGTTAATTGTTTCGAAATCTCTGGCAGACGGTGATTTTCTTCTTATTTTGGTTAATTGCAGAAAATTTTAAGAAGTTAGAAAAATTCTGTAGAATTGTATAGAAATAATACGGCACTATTTAACCGTTTTAGCAAGAACTGGCACTTGCTTTGTTATCGTTTATGGCTTTCGGAAAAGGGCTTTGGGAAAATCACCATCCACTTTGGCCAATTCCTCCACTCCTTTCGATATATTCCCAAAAACCTAATATCGAGCGCACTCAGACTTTGTTTTATAAGTTCTACACTGTTCTGGAATGCTCTAAAATATTCTAAAGATTAAAGGAACACGCCGCCGTCTAACGGTTTCAGTAGGAACTTAGCTGAAACACAACAACGGCGACCTGAACTTAAGTTGGGTGACTAGATTTCAAAATTGAAACTGTAAAAATATTAATATTTAGTTTTTGCAAAAAATAATTGTAAATTTCTTGTATCCTGTAAGACTTTCGTTGACAGCACGAACGCAACAACGTCGACTTGAACTTGCGTGACTCGAGCGCAAAATTCTAATATGAACGCCCTGAACGGGGAGTCCCGTGGTTTGGTTTCTCGAAATTTACGTAAACAGTGACCTTTCGTTTACTTTGAACGTCAAGATCGAATTAAATCTGTAAATTTGTATGAATTTTACATACACAAACAAGCAATCACACGCTGTTCTTTATACATATATATGTAATACAACGGGTATAATATTTCACTTAGTTAATAAGTAATAATAATTGAAATGAATTTGCGTTTATTGCTTTTAAATCACTTACGTTTTAACATAATAACAGATATTTGAAAAGAAATTAAATATCTTACGCTTCGCTAAAAGACAGAGCACTGCCACATAGAAGATAAAAATATTTCTTTTAATTAGCTGAGTCTGTTTATAAAATTCAAAAGACAAATATATTGCGAGTAGCAATTGATAAATA